CCTGTACTGTTCTCTCTTGACCCCAGTATTATGCCCTACTGTCCCCCTGTACTGTGCCCCCCAGGCCAGTATTGTGCCCTGCTGCTACCCCTGAACTGTGCTATCCTAACCCCAATATTGTGATCTCCTGACCCCAGTATTGTGCCCTGCTGCTATCCTGGTAGTGTGCCTTCCTGACCCCGGTATTGTGCCCTACTGCCTCCGCCAAGACCCCAATATTGTGCCCTGCTGCCCCCCCCAAGACCCCAGTATAGTGCCCTGCTGTTAACCCTGATGCTGTGCCCTCCTGACCCCAAATTTTGCTGTCCTGCACCCCTGTGTTCTGCCATGCTAGACCCCCTGGATTCAAGTTGAACCTAGAATCGAGCATCCGTGTAGAAAAGGCAAGCACATGTTTCACATAAAGGAGGTAAGTTTTAATATGTATTCTATTATTTATCGCTATTTCTAATAATAATTGTTGGTATATCAAAGATAGATGAGCTCTAAATCTGAACATTAAACATGAATTTAGGGGTTCCCCGAGATCCCTTTTTGCCAAGGGTTCTTCCACGGTAAAAAGATTTAGAAACCCTGCCCTAGACTTAACAAGCATTGAACCCCTGCGGGGGGGAATGGGATCCACTGAAAGGGATTATTTTAAGTAGAAAAGGGTCAAATTACCAGTTTTTTTTTTTTGCTGCCAGTGTCCTGTTGGCGAGACTTCCCTTTACTTCCTGTCCTGGAGATACAATAGGAAGTAAGAGGAAATCTCCGCAGAGTTGTGACTGGAAGAGGAGTCCTGATTGGAATATTGGATTTCCCATCACTTTCTCTAGAATGCTGGTTAGTTAATTGGCTCCTCTCTAAGTGGCCTTAGAATGTGTATGTAGGCATGTGAGTTAGGGACCATAGATTGTAAGCTCCTTGGGGGGGCAGGGACTGATGTGAATGTACAGCGCTGCAGAATTTGTTGGGGCTATATAAATACATGGAATGAAGTAATAAGTCAGTTTAAATGATGACATTTGCCCTTATTAAAGTCCCCTTTCCTTCCCTATGCTGGTCCCCGTCTCCAACTTCTTTGGCTTTTCAGAGCTTACACAGCATTCACTTTTTCTTCTTTCATCATGTGTCCAGTCCTGCCTCCTGGGGTACCATAGGAAGCTGTCACTTTGCCATAAATAGGCATTTTCCATTTCCCCCTTTTGTCTGTGGCCTCTGCAGTGCGTCTCTGACAGGGACGAATTTAATAGATAGCTGTGATTTTTGCCGGTTAATTAAAGGCTTATTTCCCTGCTGCGTTTTTCCATCCTGTGCTCCATTAAACAGACATGATGGAATCAGGAAGAGTGTCTGATTGGCATAAAAACAAACAAATCAATTAGCACTCAGCAAAGCATGGCCTGACTCCCTCCATGTGGCCGCATAACCTGCTTCACCCCCCAGGTGCTCTGCAACACCTCAGCAGGGAGGCAGAGATTCAGGTCAGGGGGCAGGTAGTGCTGAATTTAAATATGGATTTTTTTTTTTCATTCTTTCTCTCACTGACTTGGATTTTCAGAGTGATCTTAAAGGGGTGTTGTGGATCATGTGAAAATGCAATGCTTTTATGATTTTATTTTTTTTTTAATAAAAACTCAGGTCTAAACTTAAGCTATAGTGGATTTTCTTTTACAAAGAGTTTTATTATGGAATAGGAAACAGCAAAAAAAAAAGTCAGTCAAAAACATATGGAATGACCAGCAGAAATATACCATGAAAAAAATTCAATGGGTAATACAGAATATGTACTGGTGAGAAAACATGAGAAATGAACTGCGTACATAAGTGCCATACAGAAAGAAAAGGTAATAAATTGCAAAAATGATAGACATTTGGAAGCTATAGTGGATTTTCAAGCAAATGATCATATGAAAATTTGTACAAAAATTCTCAGTACATTCAATGGCTTGACAAATGTCGCTCGAAGGTGCTTACAAATATATTTTGTTTTAACGTTCGATTTTGGAGTGAATGGACTTTCTCAAACAAAAACCACATTAACTGATAGATATTATTTCGTTCAAGAAAAAAAATTTCCATCCTGCTCCTTTGAATTGTCTCGTCACTGGGGTCGAAAACAATTGTTCATTTGGCCTCACTATCAATTAGAAATTCAAATTTATTTATGTTAGGTACTTCTATAGTGCTGTCAATTGCTTTACATATATATTGTACATTCACATCAGTTCCTAACCCTCAAGGGGTGTACAATCTAAGGCCCCTAACTCACATTCATACATACACATACTAGGGACAATTTAGACAGGATCCAATTAACCTACCAGCATGTCTTTGGAGTGTGGGAGGAAACCCACACAGGCACAGGGAGAACATGCAAACTCCAGGCAGGAGGTGCCATGGCTGGGATTCGAACCAATGACCCCAGTACTGCCAGGTGGAAGTGCTAACCATTTAGCCACTGTGCTGCCCACAAATGATTGTTCTTCCAACAATTCTGAACGAAACTCTACTAGTGTATGGCCAGCTTTAACCCTCTATGGTCTCTCTATGACACAAATATTCAGATCTCAGAAAATAAGCTGTTGGGTCAGTCCATTCAAAACCAATATTGCAGTGATTGTAAACCCTCACCAAAACAACCCAGTGTAAAATAGCAATGACAGGTAAACCATTTGTGTATAGATATAAAAAACATTATAAATACCCTTTTTCCTTTTTTAAAATAAGTGATCACATTCCCTCTGTTCTCAGATGGATAAGAGCTAGAGGTGGAGAAACAGCAGGACACCGATCTTCCCAGTGAAAGGCTGTGGGTGGGTGGTTGTCAGGACAAGTCTGATAAATGGAGGAGAGCAGGCTGAGTTCTCAGAACAACCAGAAAACTGAGCATGTTGTGTTCTCCTGCTTAGTGTGGTCAGTTTTTAATAAGAAAGCAGAGAGATGGGCAGGAACACCAGTGATTTCACACAAGGGAAGGAATACAAAGAGAACAGGACACTCCTTCATACAAGTACATGTTACAGCAGGCACAAATCAGGAATATGAAATGTTGGGTTTACATATTCTGTAGATGCTGGAGAATGAAATCACCTGGCAGTTTTTTTTTTATATTTCCCAGGGATTCTATCACTTGGCTTGTACCAAATCGTTGCAATGAGATCCCAGGGGTTGCCCCATTGCTGTGGCCATTAGAAGGGGCCAAGGCTCATCTTTCTGGATTTTTTTTGATAGATGGAGAATGTAACAGGAGGAGCTGGGGCACACAGAACCTTTAGATGGACAAGGAAAGAGTCGGGAATTACGATGGCACACTTAGAGGATCCAACACATATAAAGTCCAATTCGAGCGCCAGATAAGCCTCCAAGAGGCCAAAGCTTTCAATGAAAAAATTGGTTTACTGTAGGAAAAAAAAGTCTAACATGTTTCTGGAGCCAAACACTCTCCCTTCATCAGGGCTCAGGGATGTCGACTGCACTGCTCTATGCTACTTTTCAACACTTTTTTTTAAACCATTCCAAGCTGAAAACCACAGATCTGTCTAGTATCTGCCTATTTATTTAAAGTAGAACAGAAAGGCAAAACTTTCGGAAGAAGAAACAGCAGCACACTGATCTTCCCAGTGAATGGCTGTGGGAAGGGGAGGAGTTCTCAGCACAGCCAGAAAACTGACCACACTGTGCTCTGCCTAGCATGGCCAATTTTTAATAGAAAAACAGAGGGACTGGCAGGAACACGAGAGATTTCACAAAAAGGAAGTAATACAAAGAGAACAGGATACTTTTTAATACAAGTACATGATACATCCGGGCACAGATCAGGAATAGGAAATGATGGAGTAACATATTCTTTAACCATAGTCGAATTTCCTAAGCCCTGATGAAAGAGCAGTCAATCTGGCCCCAAAATGTGTTGGGTTTGAACCAGTTTAATCAATGGTGCAAGCCCCAGGGCTATCCAAAGACATGCTGGTAGGTGAATTGGCTCCCGTCTATATTGTCCCTAGTATGTGTATGTATGAATGTGAGTTAGGGACCTTAGATTGTACACCCCTTGAGGGTTAGGGACTGATGTGAATGTACAATATATATGTAAAGTGTTGTGTAAATTGACAGCACTATATAAGTACCTGAAATAAAATGATCCTGATCGTTGCCATACTACTTAGTAAATCCCTGAACAGGTCAACTGCCTCATCAGGTATCACCATATCCCAGGTACCTGCTTGTGCCATGATAGCGACTTGTCAGAGCGAAACCAAAGTCAAGCAAAGGATTGAGCTTATACTCAGAGGTGAACGCCTGTGTTCATGAGCCCTTACCTCACCTACAAATGAACGCACACTTTCTGCGTTCAGGATCGTGCACCCACATGGATGTCAAATTGCTAGCAGTGGCCGTGTCCGTGGAGAGGTTTCTGTGCTGGGAACATGCTTACTGTGCACCCCAACACAGTGATTGAGCCATCACAGTCTCTAGCAATGATCAGGAGCTGGCAGGACAGTCAATCACAGTGGTCACATGATCCGACAAACCTTGTCTTGCTCCCCCCCTCAGGCGTAATAGTCCAGTTAAGGGGATGCCAGGGCTTGATGGTAAGGGGTTAACAGAACAAAAACAAAAAAAATGTAAAAAAGGGTTTTCTCACCTAAGTACACCCTTCTACCTGCATGCCTGAGCTATTGACAGGTGGATTCAAGGAAGTAAATGCTACATGAATCATCTGCCCTTACTCAAGATGGCTCAAAAATGCTAGGGGGTGTTTTTCAAAGTGATTTCTCAGCAAAATAATTAAATAACATATTTGGTTTGTGGTGCTCAGGCACAGCGCAGTTCCACTTTAAGTATAATTCATTGTTTTATCGAATTAGCCAGATTTTTTGAATTTTCCATTTTGGTTTCAGATTTAGTAGTCAGTGGAAGGTAACAAATTTTCAGCAGCATTGCCCTTAACCACTTCCTGTCCGGCCGTTGTATATAAACGGCTGGACGGTGGCAGTTCAGGGGCGGGTTGCCTTTCATAAACAGCGCCCGCCATTTTGGACTGTGTGCGTGCTCCCTGGGAGCGTGTGGCACCGTGATCACCGATTGCTGTACGGGACCCCTGTGTGAGGTCCCGATCATGTGATCACTGATTGGCCAATCAGTGATCACATGAACAGTAGTAAGCAAGATGTCACTTGACATCATTGCTTACTATGTGTGAAATTTGTGAATGATCACAGAGATCACATGGTACAGGGCTATTCACAACAGCCTTGTACCATGTGACAAGCTGTGACCAATCACAGCTCAAACAGTATTTTTTCAATGGCTGCAAGAATGCAGCCAAAGAGAAGGAGAAATGATTGCTTTTACAGCCTTTATGGGTGTAAAAGCAATCAGTGTAAAAAAAAATCTTCATCACCCCCCACAAGTAGTACAGTGTCACTATGGTGATACTGTACTGCTAGGGTGACAGTATGTAAAAAAAACAAATAATATAAAAAAAATAAAATAAAAATGTAAAAACTTTTTTTGAATAATTGTAATTTTTGGTTATAAACTAATTTGGGTTATTTTTTTTTACTAAAAAGATAATTGAATTAATTTTGGCCAAGATTTATGAAGAAAGAGTATTTATTTGCAAAATTTTATAAGAAAAACACTTTTTTTTCAAAATGTTTGGACTTTTTCATTTATATAGCAAAAAAGAAAAATCCCAGCGGTGAATAAATATCACCAAAATAAAGTTTTATCTGTCTCAAAAAATGCTAACAAATTCATATGGGTACAGTGTTGCATGACCGCGCAACTGTCAAAGTGTTATATTACTGAAAGCTGAAAATTGGCCTGGATAGGAAGGGGGTGAAAGTGTCCGGACTTGAAGTGGTTAATCTCTGGGGATTAACAGTATGAATGAAGGCTATGCACAGAAAGTGCCGACTCCATGCTTTACTATAGAACATGAGAGCCTTTCTACAGACGAGGTGGATCCAGTGGTTTCTCGGTCATTCTTTGCATGTACAGCTTGCGTGGCTCAGTTGTTATAGAGCAGCTTTGTTACAGAAGTATTATTGAGGAACTAACACTTTATACAGAAAATAACAATGTATGCCGGTTACATATGTGGAGAGGATTTCAGAACAATTTTATTATCTGCTTCTGTTAGGGTTTATGCACATTGCTTTAACATGTATAAGAGCCGTGTGTACAGCCAGCTCTACAGCTCATGTATATGGCCACCTGTGGCTGAACAACATAAGGGTCAGGCATATTTCTCTGCCAGGGAATCACGTGTCCCATAAAGCCCCCCGAGACAAGTATGGCTGCGTACCGGGTTCTACATCTGTACACATGCACTGGTTTTTGCAAGTACCGATCAACCATAACTATATGACCATTCACCTAATATTAAGTAGGTCCCATTTTGCAGCCAAAACAACCCTAACCCATCAAGGAATGGACTCCAGTAGACCTCTGAAGGTACGCTGTGGTATCTGGCACCAAGCTGTCACTAGCAGATACTTTAAGTCCTGTAAATTGCAAGGTGGGACTCCGTGGATCGGACTTATTTTTTCCAGCGCATCCCACAGATGCCTGATTGGATTGAGATCTGGAGAATTTAAAGACCAAGTCAACACCTTGGACTCGTAGTGTTCCTCAAACCATTCTTGAAGCATTTTTGCAGTGTGGCAGGGTGCATTATCCTACTGAAAGAGGCCACTGCCATCAGGGAATACCATTTCCATGAAGGGGTGGTCAGCAACAATGTTTAGGTAGGTGGTACGTGTCAAAGTAACATCCGCATGAATGGCAGGACCCAAGGGTTCCCAGAACATTGCCCAAACCATCACATTGCCTCCACTGGCTTGCCCTCTTCCCATAGTGCATCCTGGTGCCATCTCTTCCTGAGGTAAGTGATGCACGCTCACCCAGCCATCCACATGATGTTATAGAAAATGTGAATGATCAGATCAGGCCACCTTCTTCCATTGCTCCGTGGTCCAATTCTGATGCTCCCACTCCCATTGCATGGCTTTGAAACGTGTCATCCTAACTGGTCTGCAGCTTCGCAGCCCGATACGCAACAAATTGGATTGCCCATATTTTTCTTTCCACACATTTTTGGGGACAACATGTTCACTTGCTGCCTAATAGATCCCACCCACGTTCAGATGCCACTGGAATAAGATAATGTTATTCATTTAACCTCTTCATGCCGGCTGCACACAAATGTGCGGCCCTCCCGGCATCTGGGCCTAGACACCGAGCGGCCGCACATTTGCATTCTATTAAAAAAGGACATATGTGTCGAGAGCGCATGCCCTGCGCGCTCCCAGCACACGTCTTGTGTCATGGAAAGGTCCTGATCTCCTCTTTCGATTGGGACCTTTCCCGATCACGTGACCACCGTGACGGCGCGTCACAGTGGTCACAGGACCCTAAACCCCGCCTCCCGGCTTCTGGAACCCTTAAAGGGCCGGGAGGCGCCGGTGTGAAGGGGTTAACCTGTCAGTGGTTGTAAAGTTATGGCTGATTGGTATATATCCACTTGTGGCTTCTGGGCATTAAAATACGCTCAAACTTTACGTTGTATGGGCACAGGGGGCCATGGGCATGGACCTTTACAAAGTATTTGCAGAGATGTCAGCAAGTTTCAGACAGCTTTGTTAGGACTGTTTGTGTAGACTGCAACTGCAGTTGGGAGATGGTAACACACAAATCTAAGTAGGAGTGTTAGGTGTCACAGCAAAGTATATATAAAGCCAAGACTTTAGAGCAAGGAAGAGTTAAAACTGCTGTCAGTGGGGTTTTTTCACCACCTTTGTTTTATTAAGTCCTCATGCAAGCTGGACGTTTTTACAGCGGCTGTTTTTGGCTTTTGACAGTCTTTTTCTACAGCCAGTATACCCCCCAGCATGTTATCCTATGTGTCCATTTCCGGCGTGTTATCCTGTGTGTCCATCTCCGGCGTGTTATCCTGTGTGTCCATCCCCGGCGTGTTATCCTACGTGTCCATCCCCGGCGTGTTATCCTACGTGTCCATCCCCGGCGTGTTTTCCTACGTGTCCATCCCCGGCGTGTTTTCCTACGTGTCCATCCCCGGCGTGTTATCCTACGTGTCCATCCCCGGCGTGTTTTCCTACGTGTCCATCCCCGGCGTGTTTTCCTACGTGTCCATCCCCGGCGTGTTTTCCTACGTGTCCATCCCCGGCGTGTTTTCCTACGTGTCCATCCCCGGCGTGTTATCCTACGTGTCCATCCCCGGCGTGTCTTCCTACGTGTCCATCCCCGGCGTGTCTTCCTACGTGTCCATCCCCGGCGTGTCTTCCTACGTGTCCATCCCCGGCGTGTCATCCTACGTGTCCATCCCCGGCGTGTCATCCTACGTGTCCATCCCCGGCGTGTCATCCTACGTGTCCATCCCCGGCGTGTCATCCTACGTGTCCATCCCCGGCGTGTCATCCTACGTGTCCATCCCCGGCGTGTCATCCTACGTGTCCATCCCCGGCGTGTTCTCCTACGTGTCCATCCCCGGCGTGTTCTCCTACGTGTCCATCCCCGGCGTGTTCTCCTACGTGTCCATCCCCGGCATGTTCTCCTACGTGTCCATCCCCGGCATGTTCTCCTACGTGTCCATCCCCGGCATGTTCTCCTACGTGTCCATCCCCGGCATGTTATCTTACGTGTCCATCCCCGGCATGTTATCCTATGTGTCCATGCACACACAGACTGTAATCAATGTTTTTTGGCAGGGATGTTTATTGGCTGGACAAAAAAACCCAGGACTAGTGGGTTTCTAGGGGAGTTTTTTAGCTGTAAAAACGCTCTAATGTTGAAAAAACGTGGTAAAAACGTCGCAAACCGGCGTTTCTGGACTTTTTTTGCCCCAAAAAAATTTTTGGGGGTAAAAAAAAAAAAGCTAAAAACCGCAAAGTTGGGAAAACACGACTAAATGCTAATGAAAAAACGCTAAAAACACCTGAAAAACTCCCATTGTTAACCTGACTTTATACAGCTAATGTTACCAGTGTTGTCCTCATGCAAACGTCCCGTGTGCATGAGGACTAAAGCAGAACTAAAGGCATTTAACAAAGACAGCGAGCCAGTGGACTATTATCCAGGGGCGGACTGACCATTTGGAAACTCGGGCACTTCCTGAGGGCCCGGGGTCAGTAGGGGGCCCCATGAGATGCCCCTGGTACCTTTTTCATAGCCTTTTTTGAGTGTGGGCAAGGACACAGGGGCCCCATGATCCCCTATTGCCCGGGGGCCCCATGAGTTGTCAGTCCGCCCCTGCTATTATCACATAAAAGACATGCTTCTGCAATAAAATACACCTACCTGCTTGCTTTCAGTGTTCTGCACATGTGGAGCTCGGCTTACATCACAGGCACGGTCCCTGTGTGCCGGGATGGTGAGTTAATGTCATCCTGCCCTGGCCAGCGGAGGTACATGAAGACCAGCACCTGGGAAGAAGATGCTGGGGCCACCAAGGGACCCAGACTGTTAGAGAAGTTGGTGCCTTTAGCTCCGCTTTAAGATTTCCCTTCACTCTCTGTCCTGTAAATTCAGCAGGAAATGACAGTATGAGGCTACGTTCACACTAGCTTTGTCAGCAGGCATCAGGCGTTTGGGAAGCATTTTTAACGCTTCTTAAAACGCCTAGGAAAATTCTGCACATGGCAGCACACAGTGCTGTTCGCACTGAAGCGTTAGCGACACGTAAAAATTTACGCCTCATATTTAGTCAGGAGGAGTTGAAGCCTCCCATTCAAGTCTATGATGACCCTCCTCAAATGCCTGGCAAGTGTTTGCGAGGCGTTTGTGGAGCGTTAATACCATTAAACTTCATATTAGGTGCTTGTGGTGCGGTTTTTTTAACGCTTGGCAAATGCCTATCAAATACCTCAAAAACGCGCATAGGGCATTTGGGGAGTTTGAGAAGCATTAAAAATGCTTCCCAAATGCCTAGCGCTATATGGGCGCTTGGCGAGCCTTAGAAATGAGTCAAGTGTGAACGAGCCCTATCTCCCCAATAGACAGTTGTTATAGGAACAAGTCACCCCATTGCAAGATTCCCCTCTATTCTCGCTCTGGAATGTTCGATTTAACCTTGCTTTCATTTCTAGAGACAATGGTGATTGGGAAGATGAGAGAGAGTGAATCTTCCTAATTTGGAGAAAGGCAGCAACAAAACCCTGAAAGTTGTTTGAATCCCTCTCCACTCTATCCAAATCTAAAATAAAACGTTTTGCCTTTAGTTATATCTCAAAAAAAAGAACTAAACTAAAAAAAAACAAAAAAGATACACCTGTATAAAAAGAAAAAAAATGTTACCTTTCCCACCACTCTCGTTTCTAGACTGGCACTTTAATTCAGTAACAATCTTTGAGACATTCACTGAGAAACTGACACTTCCTGTTGTGTCAATCTCTGGTGTCCCCCGCAGCTCTCACTGGTTCCTCCTGCCAACCTACATGATGGAAGAGAGCTGGAGAACCCACTGAACACTGCAGGGTTGATAATAACTTCACCCTGGATTACACGCTACCTACCACCAATCTAAGGAGCAGGGGCGGACTGACCATTTGGAAACTCGGGCACTGCCCGAGGGCCCGGGGTCAGTAGGGGGCCCCATGAGATGCCCCTGGTACCTTTTTCATAGGCTTTTTTGAGTTTGGGCAAGGACACAGGGGTCCCATGATCTCCTATTGCCCGGGGGCCCCATGAGTTGTCAGTCCGCCCCTGCTAAGGAGGTACTAATACATTCACAGCCAACGTAAGGCAACACTTCACGCTCAACCAGCAATATAATGCTGCAATGATGAACAATGTATGAGAACACAACGCCTCCTTTGTGGTGACCGGGGACTTTTAGAATTCTAGAAAAGCCCTTGAAAGCAAAAGAATACTAAACATAGGAAAACAACGAAATTGGTGTAATGAGATATAAATGAATGTACTACCACCGCACTATCTGGTGTAGGCTTGTCATTTATTTTTGTTGTAAATTATAGACACTGGAGTTCCCCTTTAATACTCCTGGTATTTCTTCTGCATGTGACAGCTGACATGGTGGAGCAGCGACATTTTATAATCTTGTAAATTTTAGAATGTTAATATAAACACAACTTTGCTGTTTCCAGGCTGGAAACGAGCTGCAGCAGCGTCAATGACCTGATGGTTGATTCTGGTAAGGCAAGTGACGTGTCAGTGTGCAGCTGGCCGATGGAACCGATTCACTGGACTCCATTCCCTATCCTGCACCAACTCTCTCTACAGTCTCCAGTAAGTGGAGCCCCATAGTGGTTGTGTTTGGTAGCGACTGTTTTATTTGTGAGTATAGCCTGAAAATGCTTCTGACCGCCATCAAAATGTCAAAAATTATTCAATATGGGAAAACGTATCAAGTCTAAGGCGGCACATTGCAGTATTCCTTCCTTTAGGTGAATCTCTACTTTGCCCATTCTAGACAAAGTAACAGGTTCACTTTAAAGCCTAATGCAGGCCATACATGAGTCGAATTCCGAGCGATTTTTCGTCCAAAAATCAAAAACATCATTCGCTCGGTAATCCGATGGTGCCATCAGTGATTTCGAAAATCGGTTCACCCCATATAACAGGCAAAACTTCTGTTCCTTCCAGGTCACGGCTCATGTGCATATTCTTTTTGGAAAAACGATCGTACGATTTGACCATCATGGAGTCGAAAATCAGTAGTTTTTCACGAATTTTCCTACATGCCGATCACCGAAAATGGGAGGAACCACGAAAATCGGCCAGTGCCATTGACCCACTAACAGAGCGAAAATCGGCCAATTATTCTTAGGTCCCATTTTCGGATGACAAATCGGTCGAATTTCAACCCATGTATGGCCGGCATAAGTCTAGGCTTTAAAAAAAAAAAAACCAAACAGCAGAAGGGACAATACTTATATTTAATGCAAAGTGTCCCTTGTGCTGTTGCTGGCTGTCGTAGTTGGAATCCTTTGTCCTCTTCCCTCCCATACCAATACCTGTGCTGGACCTGTGGCAGGCGCTCAACAGTACCAACTATGGTCACCATTTCCTCCCACCCTCCTCCAATCATACAATCCATACTACAACCTTCATGGAAGCTATATTACGGCTTATATGAATAGAAGAGGGGGTGGAAAAGGCAGGCATGGCTGGTTTCTCTTGATGAGTGCTGATATTAACCCTTTCAGCACCAGAAGCTTACAACTGTGAGGCATGGGAGGGGGGGGGGGGGGGGTGAGCACTATGGATTGCCCTGCAACAGTGGCAGGTGGCCCTGCACTGTTGCTTGGGTCATGCTCCTTCATGTCCAGAAGTACTGGGTATGTCCTGAAGCTAAAGAGAGCTGCGGGGTAGAAAAGACAACGTAAGTGTTTGCTGAGTTGGGACAATAATACAAACATGTTGCTTGGACCTGATTGGGCAAGGGCAGAAAGACCAGCTTTGCTTTAATGAGAATGTTTAGTGGTTTTGTAAATGTACGGTCTTTCTTTGTTAGGCCCAGGACTAAAAAAAGTTTCCTTTTTTCTTTAGGTGGAGTAAATTAATTACATATTATGCAAACCTTTTTTCTGCTGTTGTAAAAAGCCTGTTTATAGTTTTCAGTAGCTCAAGACAAAAAGCTATACACACGTGAATAAGGCAGAGTGCTACTCCTCCTCCCTTTGTGAGGGCTTCTGTCAGTGGGTTTTTGTGTGGGTCAAAACTGCTGCAAGGTAATAAAATGCAAAAGCAGTCTGATACAGGTCCATGCAGCTTAGGAGGAGGTTAAATGCACTTGTCAGTTTGACTCAGAAGAGTCAAAAACTGATGTCAAATGCCCATCAATGCAAATCCAAAGTGCATCAATGCAGACCCTAAGGCTTCATCCAAGGTTTCAATCAGTATGAGTGCCTGAAAGATAATTATTACTTCTGCGCTCTCTCAGCTTAATCCATAGCGCTCTGGGAATTCTTTGTCATTTATGTGCATTTGTTTAACAAAGATAGCATACAGCACATGAGCAATAAATCTAACTGTCGAAAAAAAAGTTCAGTTAGTAGTAATTTTTTTTTTTTTTAAAAGGTGTTGAAAAACCTGTGTGCTTCATAATAAATACCTAAAATGGTAAAGTGCTTATTAGCTTTTTCCTACATAGCCCAATTACTATAAGAAGTGATTAAAGCCCAACTCGGGGGGGGGGAATTCCCATACAGTAGGGCTGTGATCACACTTGCATGGGTTAACTGCTCTTTTTTTTTCTAGGGGAGAGGAGAGCGAAGATATACTTACCTGATCCTCCCAGAACAAGAACGGCCTGGCACCCCCACGCTCCAGCAGTCTTGGAATAGTGGACTGTTCCTGCCGTCATCACCCCCAGAGCAGGCTCCATAGACCAGGAACAGTCCACCGCTGGATCGTGGGGGAGCGCTGTTTTCCAAAGACTCGAAGGATCGGGTGAGTATAAGCTTTCTGCTCACACCTAGACAAAACTAGCAGTTGGGCACAACCCAACTGTAAGGGAACTTTTTTTTTTTTTTTTTCTTTTGCCCGGAGATGTTTTAAAGCAAACCACAACTACATCAGTATTCAGTAGCGATGCTGTATATTCATCAACCAGTAAATGGCACTGTTTTATAGGTTTGTAGCTGTGTCTATGGTAAACTAGATGTCTTTTCTCAGAATAACCTTTCCTGTTTCCTTGTTGCAGTGAAGCAGAAAAGACAGAGTATACCATAGATGCAACTACAGACTTATAAACACTGCCATCTACTGGCTGAAGTAAATATCTCTACTGAATACTGATGTAGTTGTCGCACAAAATACATGAACACTGTATCCCAACAAAATCAAATTGGGCTTTAAAGCAAATCAAAAGAAAAAAATCCCATCCTAGACACCCTCCCATGCCTTGTCTTTACCATTGTTCTCTACAAATTTGGGGTTTTAGAACATTGTAATATTATACCTGCCTATCCACAATGCAGAGTTTGGGATATGAATAACCAATCACCCGGCACAAGCACTGTCACATAAAGCAGGGCACGACCTGTTCTGGTGACTTTATGAAGTACATATAGGTGCCTGGGGCAGGGGGACTGGTGATTTTATTTTTCTGACGGGTGTGTTTAAGACCGCCCACTCTGTATAATAGCAAATGATGGAATAAGGCAGCTGGACTCACATGTTCTCTTTCATTCCAGTTCCACGCTCGCAGGCCCCACTCTTATTTCGAGGGAATGGAGCTGGTCAACACAGAGCGGAGCTGGACCGCATAGACGCAAAAATGAGATGAGTTTTTGGGAGAGGCTCCTGAGAATATCTAACGAGGAAACTAATGGTGGTGCATATATACTGCACAATCTGACCACTTTCCTCACACGGTGCCGACCCTGCAACATTACCAGATACTGCAACAATACTGAGTGCACGGACTAAAGACTTCAGATGATCAAGTACTGTGAAAAGCTGAGGTCATGGCAACGGACTGTGAGGTCATAGCAACGGACTGTGAGGTCATAGCAACGGAATGTGAGATCCAGCGCTGTATAGACAATACCTGGATTCACAAGTGGGGGAAAAGGAACACTGGATGAATTATGTTCTGCGTGTAGCACTTATTGTGGTGTCCATCATGTGATTGCTCAAACACCCATACTGACTGTTACAGACTGATGTATCATGTCACAACCATACAGTGAATTCATACACTCCTGTCTTGAACATCCTTGCAATAGATAAAACAATTAAGATAACACTGATACTGAAGCTTTGCTTTGTACTTGTGTAGAGGCCAGCCTCACAGCTCCTGGAAAATGTTGTAAGACAGGCTGGGTTTATTCATTCTGGAAAATTTACAACAAAAGCCATTGCCAACGGGTTTCTGTGCATCGATCAGTAACTTATTAAACATCTGCTATCCTATTCTCTGAGCCTCCAAGAGTTAGAGATATGCAGGGGCGGACTGACCATTTGGAAACTCGGGCACTGCCCGAGGGCCCGGGGTCAGTAGTGGGCCCCATGAGATGCCCCTGGTACCTTTTTCATAGGCTTTTTTGAGTTTGGGCAAGGACATAGGGGCCCCATGATCCCCTATTGCCCCATGAGTTGTCAGTCCGCCCCTGGAGATATGCAATGGAAACCTGCCATGAAGGAAATTCGGGGGCCGCCCTTGTTGACCACTGGAGGTTGCTAGCTGCCTGCCTGACAGTTTTCCTTACCAGATGAGCAGAAAAGCCATGCAGATAGCATTTTCTATATCAGCATAGGCCGTCCTTGTATACTCTAAAGGAGGGCTTCAAATTTCGAGTCTAAACCTACTAGCCAGGCACAAACCTTACTCTCCACCAGTTGCCCCACCCAACCTTGCCCAGGTCTGCCTCCAACCACACCCCTGGCCCATCCCCCAACCACACCCCCTTAAAGCTTATGAAATTAACTTTTTCTTTAGAATATAGAGTACAAAATATAAAAAAAGAGCAATTATAACATAGCTTTAATTTTACATCATTAGGGACGCCAATGCTGAGGCACTAGTGATACCAAAGCTGGGGCGTTATTCCTCCCACTGATACCAATGATGGGGCACTATTCCTCCCGCTGATACCAATGATGGGGCACTATTCCTCCCGCTGATACCAATGGTAGGGCACTATTCCTCCCACTGATACCAATGATGGGGCACTATTCCACTGATACCAATGATGAGGCACTATTCCTCCCACTGGCACCAAGCATGGGGTACTATTCCTCCCACTGGCACCAAGCATGGGGTACTATTCCTTCCACTGACACCAAGCATGGGGTACTATTCCTTCCACTGACACCAAGCATGGGGTATTGTTCCATTTACTGATACCAATGACGGTATAATTCCTCCCACTGATACAAACGCTGATGTGTTATTCTTTCCACTGAAACCAAAGTTAAGGCACTAATACTCCCAATTAAAATCCAGGGAACCTTGGAGTCTCTACCACCATACAATAGACCCACTTCATTCCTCCTATTCATTCCTCCTGCACTGAAGTGTGCACACTTCCAGCCTTAACTGAGAATCCAGGGAATCTCAGCATCTCCACCATCATACATACTGCACACTTCAGTCGAAGAGGAATGAAGTAGAACTATTGCATGGTGGTGGAGACACAGAGAAAGAGAGGGAGGGGAGTCATTGGGGGGGAGGGGGTGAGAGACCCCTAGCCTGTCCCTGTCTGCAGTTCCTCCTGTGCCCCCTTGTCCCAGTACCCATCTGCTGTGCTTGATAAGGTGTGTGTGATGCTCCGTACGATACCTTCCATGCCAGAAGCATGTGCATGATAGCCAGCAGTGGGGAGGGTCTGATCTTGCTCTTGGTTAGGACAGGAGGTACTCTGCTCCTTCCAGCGAATCTCTGTGATGTGAGCAGTCCCTGGCTGCCTGCACCTCCAGTCCATTCCCGTTCTCTGGGATCCTGGTAAGTTTGTCTTCCTATCCCGGGAGCAGAAAGGAGGTTGTGTGAAAGGGTGCACATGCACCTGACATCACCATAGCAACATCTGACACCGGAGTGGCCATCGGATACAGACAGCTAGATGAGCCACAGGACACAAGAACTGGGGGATGCGGGAGAACCTCTTACAGTACAGTTGATAGGTAAAATAAAAGGGAGTGATAGAAGGTGCAAGAGCGGTCAGTAATGGGCAAGGAGTTGCCAACAATAACACTCGTCCCCATGTTATTTCCACTTGCAAAATGCGAGCAGGCGAGTGGAAATTTTAAGCCCTGCTCTAAAGCACAGGTGTCGAAGTCCCATAAAGCATTGCAAGATTGACAGTTACAAGCATGGCTCCCAAAGGCAGAGGCATGATGGGACTTGTAGTTTCGCAACAGCTGGAGGGCCGCCAGCTTGACACCCCTGCTCTAAAGTATGTGGACACCCATCCAAATGGTTGAGATCAGATGTTTCCATTTAAGGTAATCAAAGTGGAACTAAACGCATCGATTTAAACTGGTTCTCAAAAAAGTTATATTCAAGGCATGCTGTCACAGTGCTTGAGCTCTCAACAAACTGTCAAGCCATCAAATGGCTGGTGTCATAACTGATCGCGCGTGTGCAGCACCATGACAACAGCAGATCAAACAGAAGTTAAGATGGCAGCTTCATTGGCTGTAAGGCTGGAAGGTTTGTTTTTTTTTTAACTTTAATGCTACAGAATACAAATGTTTGACAATTCTTGCAGTTTTCAGTAATTACAGATGACAGCTGCAGGGTAAAGTACATTAAAAGCATACAGACTAAATTCAACAATTCGATATGTGCTATTCATGCCAACAAAGCCTAGCAATTGGGATTTATGTGCAAAAAAGAGAAAAAACATAATAATAATGATGTTAAACAAGAGAAAGAACAAAAAAAAAAAAAAAAGTTGAACAGTAAAGAAGCTACCAATTTATTTCCATTAAGACTAGGCCTGCAGAAAATGGCAGCTAGGATTCATTAGCCATTTGCTCTAGTCATAGAACTGACCATTCACAAAGATAGACATGGCTTAATGAGTTTGGTGTAAGGAAGTGTAGTGGCCTGCACAGATCCCCAACAGATCCCCAACCTCAGCCCTAACACCTTAAGGCCGGCCATACATGGGTCGATTTTCAAAAGATTTTTAGTTCGAAAATCGGAACTGAGAATAATCGGCCGATTTTCGTTCTGTTAGTGGGGCAATGGTGCCGGCCGATTTTCGTGGTTCCTCCCCATTTCGTTTATCAGGCATGCTGGAAAATTTATGCAAAATTACCCAGTTTTGAAATCATTGATGGCGCCATCAGATTACAGAACGAACAATGTTTTTGATCGAAAAATCATTCGGAATTCGACCCACGTATGGCCTGCTTTAGGATTAATTTGAACACCAATTTTGAGGCAGATCTTCTCATCCAACATCAGTACCGGACCACAAAAATGCACTTTATGCTGAATGCACACAAATTTCCACAGAAACACTCCAATATCTTGTGGAAAGTCTTCCAGATGAGTAAACGCTGTTATAGCCCCTAAGCAGAGAGGAACCCCAAATTAACGCCTTTTGGAATGAGGCAAGCTGATATAAGTGTGATGGTCAGCTGTCCACAAACGTTCCCAGACCTGTGACTCTACTGATAAACACAGCAGATCAATCAGACTCAATATGAATTTTCTGTGCAATTTGCTTGGCAATTGACAGTGTGGTGGTCTCCAAAGCTGGTACCAAAAGGAAATTTTTCCAAGAAAGAAATGGAAGCTTTGCTGACTTCACGGATGATGAACATGGCTGCTCATCAGGTAGCCGATTGCTTGATGACCAGTGTATCTGAAAGCCTATGGTGTTCAATGGATGAAGTGTCTTGCTCTAAGAATGGTTTGCAAATGCTTAGGAACTATCTGGTCTTCTGCACAAATGGCATTTCAAAATGCAATCTGCCATTCAACTCAATATATACTGTACAATAGCATGACTGTGACTGGGAAGAATCTCCAGGTAGCTATAAAGATCACTGGTAACAATGGTACTTATCTAAGAAGCAAAAATTATTGAAAGAAGTCCCAGAAACCTTCAGAGGAACCCTGGTTGAGAAAGACCAATATACATGATATACATACATATACAGTACACAGGCATTTTACACTGCATGTCAGAGGTTGCTGCCTCAGGGCCTTCACAACGTACACTTATTAAAAGGTACAGATTGTTGTAGGAGTATATTTTAGAGGAGAATGTTGGGGCTTCTGATCCAAAACTCAAAGGAAGTTGGGTCATGAAGCACGACAGTGATTCAGAACACTGAATTTAAAAACAGAAAAGCCCAAGCCCTGAACTTGAAGTCAATGAAATGCTGTAATATGATCTGAAGCCATTCAAATACAACATCCAAAGACATAACACTTTAATGTGTTGCTAAATCCAAGACCCTGCATTCCCTAGATCCGGTCTCCCCCGAACCCCGCCTTCGCTATATCCGGTCTCCCCGGACCCCGCCTTCGCTATATCCGGTCTCCCAGGACCCCGCATTCGCTATATCCGGTCTCCCCGGACCCCGCCTTCGCTATATCCGGTCTCCCAGGACCCTGCATTCACTATATCCAGTCTCCCCGGACCCTGCATTCGCTATATCCAGTCTCCCCAGACCCTGCATTCACTATATCTGGTCTCCCCAGACTCTGCATTCTCATCAGCAGTTAGAGCAGTCTCTTGTTACTTCTATGTGTCTGGATGAGCACTGGTTAAATCTTGTAGGAGGAGTTTTAAATCCAACTGTCCAA